TAGATATAAAATGAGAAACATTTTTATACTGCCATAAAGTTATGAATTTTACCTCTTTAATTAAGTGTTTCTTTACCTTATTTAAACATCTACGTAAAATGAACTCACCTGGTTTTCCTAGATAAGGCAATCTAACCCAAATCTTAATCAAGCTATCATCAGTAGGCCTATGTATACATTTAAGTTCATTTAATTCTTAAGTACATTATTAACAACTTTTAAAGGGTACCCATTCCAAGACATAAACTTCCTGATGTTACTGTTTGAAGTTTATCAGGAGTACACAATCTGTGGGCTCTAGAAACTAAACTACGAATCCAGGAGAGCTAATATGGATAATTTTTCATTCCTGATGATGACATAATTAATGTCGAAATATTGAATTCCAACACGATGGCGTGTATTTCAATACTTGGAGTATGTATTATACTTTCTTATCTGAGATTAATCAGTGGACCTTTCGGGTTTTTTTATCTCAATTTATTTTATAACTGATGAAAGTTAACCAACTTTTAACAATTATTATTATCCTAATAGTTTAACACTCGGTTTTGTATGGTAAAATTATACCATATATATAATAAACATTTATAATTTCATTATATACACCGGATACATTCAACTTCATAAATAAACTGAGATATATTTTTTGGTAATAAAAGTCAAAGTAGTTGTTGCACAAGCTCACATCATAAAACACTACAAGTTACAAATTAATCCACAAAAATGTAAACACTCTGGTCACTTTATCAGTGATTCGCTTGTATAACCATATTTATATCCTAATGTGAGTACTGGCTACGAAGTCAGTTTGTGGGAGTACTGCAAGCTGCAAAGTTTAGCCTATCAATGTCACATGACCACAGTGGAAACAAAGCTGAGAAGCAAATGTTAAATATAGAATGAAAAAATGGTACATACACATTATACACATTATATTTCTTTTCCTTTGTTACTTAGTTATTTTATTTTTTATTTCTTTAAATTTTTTATTTATTTTTATTTTTTTTCATTTTAATTTCTTTGTTTTTCTATTTATATTTCCTTTGTTACTTGTGTTATGTATTGAGGGTCCCTAATGATCAGCTCCGGCTGGATGGACCACCTTCGTAAAATATTGTTGAAATAAATAAATAAATAAATACATTTATTAATAGGACTAAAAATAAAGTAACTACACAAATACAAATTTTAGTGTATTTTACAAGCAATAGGTGTTTAAAAATGGACTCGGCCTTCCGAACAAATGTTGCCTTTTTATCTTCTATCATACAAGTAAAATATAAGTTATAATTTATTGAATGTTATTTGCTGAATACAAGCTTTCATTAGCCTAACCACTGTCGTTACTTAGACTGAGGTTGTCTCAGATTTAGATCAATTAAAATTGCTCAGCCTTCAAGTAATAAGTAAGTTATAATGTATCTATTATTGAATATATTTGCAGAATACATTTAAGCTATCATGAGCCATTACTTCATCAAAATACATTGGTTTTATGTATTAATGCAAAGGTCCGTAATATATATAACTGACATTTATGAAACAGAATACATGTAAGTCTGAATGTAAATATAGTATTAAGTTTACAAACTGTCAAAATAAACAGTTATGCCAGGCACATACTGGTGGAAAAAGCTAAACATTTCTTCTCCCACAAAAGTGACAAAACAACACTGCAGAAAAACAGAGATCAACAGCATTTTGTTACAGGAAAAATTAAATTCAGCTCCAGACACTGGCCACACCCACATTGTACTTACTATTGATGATTTAATGGCAGTGTGATAAGTTAGTCAATGCATAGTCAATGTCATCATACATACAAGTAGTCTGCAAACTTTAAATACAGTAAAAAATAGTTTGTTGGTTTATTCCATGTCATATGCAACTCTATGTTGGGACTCAAACTTATGGAATTCTTTATTAATAAACAGACAAGGGCACCCTCGCTGATATAACAATAATGAAAACATCAAGAACATCATAATTAAGTTGCCCTCGTTGATACAGCAATTACTTAAACATCACATGCAAAGGAAGACTTAAGATATTATTATATACAGTGCATTATCATAAAATTAAAAAATGTCTGAACTAAAATTTATTAAATAATTTTAAAATTGTGTTGGATTACATCCCAAAAAATATTGTTAAAAAGCATATAATCATAAACAAAACAGTTATTTAGTTTTAAACTAAGGAATTATCTTAATTTTCTCATTTGTCCAGCAATGTCCTTTGAAGTCCAACATTCAAATTGTTAATGTGTATGTTAGCAAACTTGAAATTTTATAACAATGAATTATAATAAAATTATGAAGTTTTCAAATATAATCCAAAATAAATCTCTTCAGCAAAAATAAAATAAGCTGATTGGAGATGATAAATGTCAAGTGTGCTTGAGTTGTTTGGTAGATACTAGATTGTCAAAATGTCCATCAGACGATCAAAGATGATTTTGAAAATTATGGCAATAATAAATAATATTATTGATTAATGATGATGACAATGATGATGATATTAATGAAAATGATGATGAAAATTATAACTATAATTATGATAATGATAAGGATAATAATGATCAAAATGGTAATTATGGTGAAGATGATGAAAATAATGATTACCTTGATGATAATAATATCTATCTTGATGATGATGATTAAAATGGTAATTATGGTAATGAAAATAATATTTATGATGATGATGATGTAAATAAATAATGGTGATTATGATGATGATATTAATGAAAATGTCTCCAATGCACATCTGTTATGTTCTCAAAATAGAATCCTCAGACTTGGTGTGCTCTTCTATGTTTACCAACAAAAACCAATCACTGATTTTGTTCTGTGTTAAATGCTTGTCTTATATGAAATCTAACTTTATAAGAAAACACATTGTGCATCCCATGCCGGACAGTAAGTTACGAGCATATGGGCAGTGGCTTGTTGATTATGAGTGGATGGAAGTGTATAACGAGAACAATATGCAAACTATGTGTTCTAACTTTTAACAAACCTTGCATGAATCAATTGACAAGTATTTTCCAAAACGTGTTGTTAAGCGCCATCCCACCGATAAACCGTGGATGTCATCGCAAATTAAAGCACTTATTGCCAAGAGACAAAAAGCATTCGCAACAATCATGATCACCTTTGGCGTCAACTAAGAAACAAGATCAATCGTCTAATTAGAGAAGCAAAAAATCTATTTTATGTTAATAAGATTCAGCATCTCAAACGATCCTCACCAAGTGAATGGTATAAAAATATACGTGTTATGACTGGTCAAAGTTCACAGAAAGAATTAGTAGTTCCTAATTGCAACAATCACATGGAGACTGCTAACGCTGTTTGTCTCACCTTAGCAGCATAGGTAAAAATCTTAAACCACTAGACAGACTATCCCTACCGGTGTTTTTGCCTGCAGCTGAACCCCGATACATTCAACAATGGGATGTCGTCAGAATCATCAATAAACTGAATACTAGGAAGGCTGGTGGTCCAGACATGATTTCTGCTCGATTCATTAAAACATTTTCATATGAATTACGAGTTCTTCGAGTTTACTACGAGTTATCTACTCGTGGCGATAATTTTGAACATGTTCAAAATTAGCGCCACGAGTTCAGAGCTGCTACGAGTAGGTAAGAGTCCTCTCCGAGCTTTCCGAATCGTCCTACGAGTTTTTGCCGAGTTATCAACTCGGCATTCTCTTGTAACTCGTATGCTGAAAAAACCCCTAGTGGGAGAGGGGCTTAGTCTTCTGGACTCGCTATATCGGCATGCTGAAATTCTTCCACTGTGTCTTCCATTTTGTTCACTGATTTTTCAAAAGCCTTGACTTAGTTGATCATACGATTGCGGTTTCCAGACTAATAAATATGAACGTTTCACCTACCAATGTTGCTTGGATTGCTGACTTTCTCAGCAACAGACATTATCAAGTCAAGTACAGGGGTCACTTATCTGATAGTTGTATTGTCAATTTTGGTGTCCCATCAAGGGACCAAGATTGGCCCCGTCGTCTTCTGTGCAATGATTAATAATGTCTTTCCCCCTGAAAATGCTCCTGTTAAACATTTCAAATATGTCGATGATCTTACATTAATCGAGTATCGTAATATTGTTAACCAATCTGAACTTCAATCATGTGCAACTGCGCTACATGATTGGGCTTCAGGTAGCAATATGAAGCTTAACCCCAAGAAATGTTGTACTATGGACATTAGTTTTAGTAAAAGGAACTTTATTCCTTCATCTATTTCTCTGAATGATCATTTTCTGAAAGCAGTTGACACTGTTAAAGTTCTTGGAGTTATGCTTCAGGCTAATCTTAAATGGGATTCACATGTCGAATATATTGTCAAAAAGGCTAATAGTAAATTATATATTTTAAGAGCCCTTAAACATCATGGTGTTCCCCCTGTTGACCTTATCACTGTTTACATTAGTACAGTCCGTCCTATTTTAGAATATGCAGTTCCTGTGTGGAATTGTGGACTTACACATCTTTGGGATTCCCGCATCGAGTGAGTCCAAAAGAGGGCATGTAGAATTATCCTGGGTATTAATTTTTTGTCGTATGACGACGCACTATCCCAATTCCAATTGGACAAATTGTCTGATAGACGACATAACCTATGCGTTTCCTTTGCTAAAACCCTTGTTCATCCGTATTCTAAACTTCATGACTTGCTCCCTCCCCCAAGGGTCAACTCCTATAATACTAGGTGCAATACTAAATTTACTATACCTCGTTGTAGAACGAAAAGATATCAAAACAGCCCATTACCATACCTTGTTAACTTAATTAACTCCAATGAATAATAATTAATAACTATCTTCTCCCCCTGGGGGTTTGGTGTATGCTATTGCCCTTTTTGCGGTTCAGTGATTCCCCCTCCCCCTTGCCTTCCTTTTTGGTCCCTGTGCAATTTATTCTATGTATTTTTCTATATTGCTATTTTTCTCTGATGTTTGTGATTTTCTCATTTGTTATGTTTCTTGATATTTTTAATGACAATCCTTAATTACAGTTATAATAATAAGGATAATAAATAATAATTACAATAATATTGATAATAATATTCTTAATTGTAACGATAATGATTATGTTTTGACCTTGGTGCAATCTTTTTTCTCTTTTTGATGTTTTTGTTATGATGTCCTTTTTGATTTGTATTACTTTTCTTAACTATAATAATAATGACAATAATAATAATTATAATAATAATGACAAATTTAGATCTTTGTGCAATCCTTTTTTCTCTTTTTTTGATCTACTTGTTATGATGTTTTTGATCTTTTTTATATTAGTATTCATAACTAAATAAATTAATAGTAATAATAATAACAATAAT